TGAAGACTACAGTTCTTGACCTCCTGCAGACAACGCTTCAGATCTTCCTCAGTTACAGCAAGCAAGGTTGTGTCATCTGCATAACACAGGTTGCTGATGAGTCTTCAGCCAATCCTGATGCTACATTCCTCCTCATCAAAAAGCCCAGCCTTGGGGACGATTTTTTTGCAGTATAGATTGAAAAGATATGGAGAGAGGACATGTTCCTGACTTTTACATATATATATTTATATAAATGGGTATATATGTGCATATTAAAAATAGACTAGGCTTGCTTCCACTTTTCGTTCCATATTAAATGTCTAAAATTTTCAATCCCAGAACATTTAATCGTAATAATGCAAAACCTATACTTGGACCAAGAGGCAGTCGTCAGAACAGAGCAGGGCAACACTGCATGGTTCAAAATTGGGAAGGGTGTACATCAGGGATGTGTCCTGTCTCCATACCTTTTCAACATGTATGCAGAGCTGATTATCCGAGAGGCGGGGCTCTATGAGGAGAGGTGTGGCGTTAGGATTGGTGGAAGATCTGTCAACAATCGGCATTATGCAGATGACACAACCTTGCTTGCTGAAACTGAGGAAGACCTCATGCACTTACTGCAGAGGGTCAAGGACTGCAGCCTTCAATATGGACTGAGGCTCAATGTCAAGAAGACAAAAATTCTCACCACTGGACCAATCGGTAGCATCAGAATGGATGGCAAAGAGATTGAGATTGTTCACAGCTTCAGTTTGCTCGGCTCCACGGTCAACACTCTTGGCACCAGTAGCCAGGAAATCAAAAAACGTATTGCGATGGGAAAGTCTGCGGTTAGGGACCTCTCCAAAATACTCAAGAGCAACGGTGTCTCTCTTGAGACTAAGGTCCGCCTGATACAGGCCATGGTTTTTGCAATCACTTGTTATGCATCAAAGAGTTGGACAATGACTAGGGAGGATAGAAGGAGAATTTGACGCCTTTGAGCTGTGGTGCTGGAGTATTGAATGTACCATGGACTGCCAAGAAAACAAGCAGATTCATCATAGAGAGGATTAAACCAGGCTGCTCCTTGGAGGCAAAGATTCTGGGGCTTTGCCTGACATACTTTGGACATGTTGTAAGGAGAGATAGGTCCTTGGAGAGGGACATCATGCTGGGCAGAGTGGAGGGACAGCGCAGGAGGAGAAGAGCCTCTATGAGGTGGATTGATTCAGTGATTGGGGTACTCGGGATGGGTGTGTCAGAGGCAATGAGATTGGCACAGGATAGAGCACAGTTTAGGGCTGTTGTACGTAGGGTCGCTATGAGTCGCAAACGACTCGATGACACATAACAACAACAACAACAATTTTCAAAGTCTTGCTTTTCAATTTTTTTACCTAGCAACAGAAAATATCCACATTTACCATCTTTTTAAAATTTTTATACTAATTTATTTATAAAATTTGAATGCATTCTTTTTTATTTTATATTATTAATTTTAAAGAACATTTATAGAGATTTTGGATTTCCATTTATTCATTGTTGTATTTTATTCCCTGCCCACCCCTCCCCTACCAGTTTGCTCCTCTCTTTGAAAAGTAAAAGAAAAATTCCTACATTTGTACACAACCCCCTCTCCACCCTGAGTGAATATATTATTTTTGAGAACAGAATTTACCATCTTTTTACTGAACAAGGCCAGAAGAAGCAAAGTCCACACACAGCCTGATTAAACTTAATGTCTTTGAAAGCAGTTGTTGCAAGACCGTGATTTCATGTTACAGCTACTTCCCCAGAACTCTTTGGAGATAATAACAACAGCAGAAATGAGAAAACCCACCAAAGCCACAAAAAAACAAAAGCTCTATAAAAATTGAGGTGCAGGCCAATTGGGCCCAGATTCCAAAAAGTGCTTATTTAAAGTCTGATTCTTCAAACACAGAGCTGATTTACAGCATTTTTATGTGAGTCTCAAAACATCCTTGTATGTAATTTTCGTGAACCACAACATACCAACAGAGTAATTTCTGAATTAGAAAGCAGAAAATTGCTAGAATTCCATCCTGTCACAAAGAGGGAGAAATAGACAAGTTCTGTGGGATCAGCGAAAGGACAAGAACTTTAGCTAACAAAGAAGCTAGTTAAATAACTCTAACTATATTCAGATAGTACCAAACTTTTTATCTGTTAACACACTTAAAATCTAACTATCTCTGTTTCCTCCAAAATTCTTAAAATTCAGGAATGCAAGACACTAGAGGAAAGTATTAAAAACAAACATTCCCCTCAATTTTATACAATTCCTTGCCCTCGACCTTTCTCAAGTAGAGAATTGAATGTGACATAACAACTGACCTTCTTGAAGGTATAACCCCTCTCCTCAAAGAAACAAAATCCAAAACAACCTAGAAATTATATTCAGAAACTTGGCATTCTGAAGAAAATCATAATCAACCGAAAATTGTGAAGATTTAGAAAGAACTGTTGCTACTAGCCACACGGATACTCAGGTTACTATAAAATCTGTCTGCATTGGGGTATAACAGCATTAGCACTGTGTTCCCAGTGGCCACAATGACTACTGTTGTCAGCGTCAGTTTGCTTTCAGAACACACAGAGCTTTGATTAATGGTGGAACAATATGCTCATTTTTCTCAAAATTCTTAAATTGGAACAAGAAGTGTAGACAAACCGGATAAGACCCAATCACTTCCTTTGCACAAAAAAAAAAAAAGGCTGAGTGTCTGTGTCCTTAGCAAGAACTCTGAATTTAAAATGCTAAGATTATCTCTAGGAAAACAACTTTCTGATTTATTTACATGGTGATTTGGAAGAGGAGCTTTATATTTTAAAGTTGTGTTTCTTTTTTTTTTTTAAATATTGGTTATGATTAAGCCCTAGAATGTATTCATTAAGTAGTTACTAAGCATTGCTATTATGTTGGAAATATATTAAATAATTCCAATCCTAGTTGGCTTACTGGACTGAAAGTGATGCTACCAAGCCAAAAGTGGGTGACTCCTAACCCGCGGTCCTCAAGCCTCTTCTTCTTTGTTTTTGTTCAAACATTCTTCTAGGTGGTAGAGCCCTGGTGTGTCCACTTGCCATGCAGAGGTAACCTGTGGGAGCTGTGATACTAAACACTGCGACACTGCTGTGCCAAATATGATAATGGTTATCCATGGTAGACAGTGTTTGGTGGCTCTCCCTGGTTAAAACAAGCTCGGAAGCAGGAGTGGCATCCACTTCCGTAAATAGCTTGCCTCTGGAAACCCTATGAACCTGGAGAGAGGATGAAAGTCACACAGATGTCCAGGACTTTCATTTATAGGGTCGCTATGAGTCACCTACAACTCGACAGCACTTCACAACAACAACATCCTCAAAGAATGTTCAAATTGAATTTCAGTAGATTTTTATTTTTGCTTTAACTTATATTTCCCTATCTAATAAAGGATCCAACGTGGCTTAGCTGCCAGTCTTTGGAGAAGAGTATCATGCTTAGAAGGGTCAAGGGACAGCACAAGAGAGGCATACCCCAGATGAGATGGACTGACATAATAACTGGGGTAATGGGGGTAGGTGTGTCAGAGACAGTGAGTTTGGCTCAGGATAGAGCAGGGTTGAGAGCTTTTGTGGACAGGGTCACTATGAGTCATAAGTGACTCAACAACACATAACAATGATAAAGCAGCTTTAATGGCTGATTTTTCAGATGAAGACACCAAGGCCTTTCCTCAGTGGTCCTTCTGGATTAACCCGAACATCTAACCTTTTGGTCAACTAACAGCAAATTGTGTTGACTATACCATCCACGAGCTGTACCTGACACGCAGTAGGGATCTAATTGAACATTTTCTCCTTCATACTTTGTCAGCTGTCCCAGCTGCATTTACTGAAAAAGCACTTTCCAGATGATGAAGACTGGCAAAGGGTTTAACAAGTGTTTTCCTGGCCTCAGTTTGGAGTGATTGGTAATACATATATGTGTGAACCTGTACATGCATGTGCAGTCTTGCTAAAGAATTAGGGGAAGAGTTACATCTTGTTCACAGTGTATTCCATGTGCCTGCCCCAGCACACAGCAGACTATAAAATGTTTGTTAAATGAGTTAATCATCTGTCTCATCCTCTTTTTCATTTTTTCCTTGTTGTGTACTGTCGAGTTAGATCCGACAGGCACAGGAGAAGATTCCTCCTCCTCCAGCAGAGCATTTATAGGGTCGCTATGAGCAGTGGATTCGAACCACACGTCTTCAGGATTGCAGCACAGCTTTTTGCCACTAGGCCACCAGAGCTCCCTTAAATGAGTTCATAATCTGGAATAAATTTTCCTCATCTAGTTTACTATCGCTTTCTAGGTGTGTCTCCCCTACACTTGTAAATTGTACAATGACTTTGTGCCTTTGTACTTCCTGTGGCCTCTGTTCAAAATGTTCTTTTCTACCAGCCTTATCAATTGGCCAGTTGCCTTGTAAACTTTCCTTTATTTCAAAATACAATATTATACTTACGTGCACCTTTATTTTACACTTAGAGCTTCGTCTTACACAACACGAGCTAGGGAATTCTAGGTGAACTCGACTGCAAATGAAACTTTGACTCTTGGAACATGAAACAGTAAGGCGCTCTGGTGGCCCAGTGTTAAGAAACTGTGCTGCAATCCTGAAGGCACATGGTTCAAATCCACAAGCTGCTCCATGAGGGAAGGATGGGCAATCTCCTCCCACTCGATCAACTGCTTCTAAAAACCCACCAGAGGGACAGCTATGATACCATCAGTTAGTTCCAGCTTGATGGTACATAACAAGAAGATCAACTCCAATGCATAGTGGCCCTGTGTCTATTAGAGTAAAATTTTGCTTTACAGGGTTTTAAACCCCCGATTTTTCAGAAGTAATTTGATTTATCAGGTCATTCGTCCGAGGCAACTGTGGATGGATTTGACACTCTTACCTTTTAGTTATATCAACCACTCAGGAATTCTCACATCATTCACTATTTCTAGCACTAGACAAGAGACTGAGACTTACTGGCTTACGGATGGTGTAGGAGGTCCACAGGGGCATCTTGATGGCTTTTCCGAATCCACTCACATATTCTCTTTGGTAAAGAAGACAGTGTTCCTTGTTCTCCTGTATGACCTTTGGCTTCCCAAATGGCATATTTTCTTTCTCTGTTGCTGTTACTAAAATTAAAATAACAAAATAAACATGGATGTAAAATCAGAAAATTCTTGTGTGCAGTGAGTAGGCTGCCCTTCCCAAGGCAGGCAGTTGGAATTCACCAGGTGCTTCTGCAGAAGGATGAGAAATCCCCTCCTTTGCGATTCGGTCTCGGAAAACCTGCTGGAGGATCAGCTATCGTGAGTTGGTTCTAACTCAATGGCAATCAGGGTTTTACGTTTAAATCTAATGGCTTAGTATGTATAAAGCACTCTAATACATATTTTACATAATGTCTTTCAAGTCTTATAGCAGTCCCAAGTTGACATTATTATTCCATGTCATAGATGGAATAAAATTTAACAAGTAAATTGGCCAAGCATAAAACTATGCAAGGGCCTGAAGCCTGCTCCCTCTGTCTATTCATTTTTACAGCTCACAGGACATAATAGAAATATGAAAATATCAACATCCAAAGGAAATGTTGTTGTTAAATGCTGTCCATTTGACCAGGACTCCAAATGAACTCATGAACAACAAATAGGGACTTAGTCCTACCTACACCATCTGCGCGCTCTGTACCATACTCAAGCCCATTGTTAGGCACTGGGTCAGGCCATCTTTTGAGCCTTTTACTCTGATGCCCCACCTTTCCCACCATCATCATCTTTTTCCAAGGACTAGCCTTTCCTGACATCATGCCTAACGTTTTTCAGATGAAATATCACCATCCTTGACTCTGAGGACCAACTTGATTAAACTTCCTGTCAGACAGACTTTTTTGTTCTTTTGGCAGTTGAATATTCAGTATTCTTCACTAACACCAGGATTCAAAAGCATGTATCTTCTTTTTAGAAGGCATATATTCAAAAGGATATGATTTGCAAGAATCATGGTATAACTTCACAGGAAAGATATAAAAATTTTGTAAAAATGTATTCTCATGTACTTCATGTTCAATCTTGATGAATGGAGAAGAGATTATTGTTGTTAACAGTTACAATTTGCATGGTTCCACAATCAACACTCTTGGCCCAAGCAGTCAGGAAATCAAAAAACAAATTACACAGGGGAAGTCTGTTGCCCAAGACCTCTCCAAAGTGCTAAAGAGCAATGATGTCAGTCTAGAGACTGAGGTGCTCCTGATCCATGCCACAGTCTTTGCAATTACTTGCTATGTATCAGAAAGCTGGACAATGACTAAGGAAGCCAGAAGAAGAATGAATGGCTTTGAGTTGTGGTGCTAGAGAAGAGTATTTGAACATACCATGGACCACCAGGAGAACAAATAGGGCAGTCTTGGAGAGGGTGCAACCAAGTTTCTCCTTGGAGGAGAGGAATTTGAAATTCCGTCTCACCTACTTTAGGCACATGGCCAAGAGAGACCAGTCCTTAGAGAAGGGAATCATGTTTGGAAGGGTGGAGGGATGGTGCAGGAGAGGAAGAACTTGAATAAAATTGATTGACATGGTAACTGGGGCAATGGGATTATGTGTGTCGCAGTCAGTGAGACTGGCTCAGAACAGGAAAGGCTTCAGAGTTGTTGTATATAGTGTTGCTGTGAGTTGCAGGTTACTCGACAGCACACAACAACAACAAAAGAGACTCAACAGCACCCAATATTAACAAGAGAATGTACAAAGTAGGTACCCCTATTTTATAAATTCTAGAATAGATTTCCCCTAGTCATATTGTTAGTAATTGGTGGAAGCTAAATACGAACTTAAGAGTTCACGCATCTAACCGTAAGACTGTTCTGCAGATGCACATGAAATGCTTTTAAGTAGTCGCCATTAAAACATGGGAAAATCAATACTTAGTCATGGGGGTGAAGAAGATGGGTGATAGAATAATGCAATGAATATCATTCAATTTACTTACACTGCTAAGCTAAAGTATATATTCCTCCACTTCCTAAACAACATGCTTCCAGAAACTCTATGAACGTTGATAAATGTTGATAGTTATAATGTGGCTTCTGGCCTTTTGTTCACAGGGTCGTGATGAGTCATGCTCAACTCGAAGGCAATCAACAGCTACATGTCCATAAAATTCATAAATGACCAAAAATAATTTTGTTAGAATATTGGTTAATGCTAGGTGCAAAGACAGTAGGCATTTTATTAATTCACTATTTTATTCTAGTTAAAATATTAATAAAATGTATATATTAATAAGTAGGATAATTGAGAACAAAAATGTATGTAATGATAACTTATATAGTCGCCAGAACAGAGCAAGGAAACACTGCGTGGTTCAAAATTGGGAAGGGCATATGCCAGGGATGTGTCCTATCTCCATACCTTTTCAACCTGTATGTAGAACAGATTATCCGGGAGGCTGGGCTCTATGAGGAGGAATGTGGGGTCAAGATTGGTGGAAGATCTATAAACAATCTGCGATATGCAGATGACACAACCCTCCTTGCTGAAAGTGGGAAGGACCTGAAGCACTTGCTGCAGAGGGTCAAGGACTCCAGCCTCCAATATGGATTGAGGCTCAATGTCAAGAAGACAAAGATTCTCACCACTGGGCCAATTGGCAGTATCAGGATGGATGGTGAAGAGATTGAGATTGTACACAGCTTTCGTTTACTTGGCTCCACAGTCAACACTCTCGGCACCAGTAGCCAGGAAATTCGTATTGCCATGAAAAAGTCTGCTGTTAGGGACCTATCCAAAGTACTGAAGAGCAATGGTGTCTCTCTGGAGACTATGGTGCCTTTGATACAGACCATGGTCTTTGCAATCACTTGTTGTGCATCAGAGAGTTAGACAATGACAAAAGAGGATAGAAGAAGAATTGATGCCTTTGAGCTGTGGTGCTAGAGAAGAGTACTGAGGGTACGTTTGACTGCTGGGAAAACAAACAGATTCATCCTGGAAAGGGTTAAACCAGGCTGCTCCTTGGAGGCAAGGATTCTGAGGCTTCATCTAACATACTTTGGACATGTTATAAGGAGGGACCAGTCCTTGGAGAAGGACATCATGCTTGGTAGGGTGGAGGGACAGCACAGGAAGGGAAGGCCCTCTATGAGATGGATAGATTCAGTGATTGGGGTAATCGGTATGTGTGTATCGGAGATGGTGCAGTTGGCACAGGACAGAGCAGAGTTTAGGGCTGTTGTACATAGTGTCACTATAAGTCGCAAGCGACTCAACAGCACATAACAACAACAAAACCATATAGTTGAAAGACAAAGAAAGCAAACCAGCAGGGAAGACTGTAATATTCACATGAGGTCCTTGTCTAAATATCTTTAAGAGGAGAAGTTTACAATCTTTTTCTATAATTGGTAAAACAATTAATATCTCAAGCTTGGTGGGTTATATATTGTTGGTGACAACATAACCTTGGCAAAGAAAACCCAATGACAATAGCTGTAGAAATGAGCATGGTAGATATTCAGTAATACCGTATTTACAGGTACTCAAATTTGAAACTAATGTAATTTTCATCTCACAAAATAGGTTGGGTTTGTTGGTTTGGGATTTTGGGTTGTTTTTTCTTTAACCACAGTCCAACTTAAAATCCCTGTCTAGCTCATGTTGGAGTTAGGTATCACGAAGTTAATTCCATCTTGTAGCAACTCTCCATATAACAAAAAAGAACGCTTCCTGCACCATTTTCATATTCCCTCATGGAGTTGAGCTCTTTATTGTCGCCACTATGTCAATCTGAAGTTTTGCCATTCTTGCCTGCTTCCTGGCTGTATTTTTTCAAACTAGATTTCTTCTCTTGGCAGTCCATGATCTATTCAATCAACACAATTTAAATGTATCCTTTTTTTTTCGGTCTTCTTTATTCATTGTCCAACTTTGTATATGAGGCAATTGAATTTACTATTAGTCCTTAAAGTGACACCCTTGTTCATTAACACTTTAAAGACATTCTTTGAAGATTTCCTCAATGCAATTTATCCCTTGATTTTTTTATTATTAAATTTTATTTGTTTTAATGAACATTTACAGGGATTTTGGGTTTTCATTCCTTCATTGCTGCACCATTCTCTCTACCCTCCTCCCCAGTTTGTTCTTCTTCTCTGCCATCCGAATGTCTGTTTTAATTGTCCAATTGCCACAGTGCTTGTCAAAGTCAGTTCTGATTAATCTCCTTTGTCGGTGTGTCCTTTGCCATTCCCTATCACTCCTCCCTGAGAGAGACTTCACCCTGATTCATATATCCCTTGATTTTTTTAAACCATTGCTTCCATAGGCATGATTAGGGACCTATGTAAACTGGAATTTTTATTGTGTGTGTGACTTCAGTCTTTTCCTCTGTTTATCATAATATTGCTTATTGGTACAATTAGAATGGTTTTTTTTCCTTTAGGTTGAAGTATCATCCATCCTGAAGGTTACTGAAAGTTATATAGTCTTTGATTTTTATTAGTAAATATTTCAAGATCTCTTTAATTTCAGCAAGTCAGGTTACATTAGCCACATATTGCAGGTTGTTAATAAGTCTTCCTTTAATTCCAATGCTATATTCTCCATATATCTTCTAGGATTATTGTTCATCACACATATCCTTTAACTATACTTATTAAATACGTTGTTGTTAGGTGTTGTCATGTTGTAGACAACTCATATAGATCCTATGAATGAAAGGCACTGTTCAAAGTTTCCAGAGGCAAGCCATTTTGGAAGTGTATGTCACTCCTGCTTCCAAGCTTGTTTTAATCAGGGAGCTCCACGAAACACTGTCCACCATGGGTAACCATTATCACATTTGACACATCAGTGTCACAGTGTTTAGCATCACAACAACCATGAGTTACCTCTGTATAACAGTGCACAGATCAGTCTATACCACCTAGAAGACTAACAGAAAAACAATTTGAACCAGGCCCAAGGGCCGCAGATTAAAAATCACCCCCACCTTTGGCTTGATAGCATAACTTTCTGTCCACCAGGCCAACTTATTAAATATAAGTATAGTAATTCTAAGTATACTTAAAGGATATAACCATGACATCCACCTTTCCTTATTTTAAACTTTCTCCTAGTTCTGTTCAAACATCTTGGTCTACGTCCTGGCTTCACGTGAACATATGCATTCTAGAATTCCTATTCTTCCCAATATTATTCACAATTTGTTATGATCTATAGTTAAATGTCATTACATATCCAATAAAATACAGGTAAATATCTTTCTTGTAGTCTCTTCTTTTAGTCAAGATCCATATAATATTATTAACCTCTTCTCTATATAAGGGGAATTTTCTGTTGATATAATGGAGTCATAAGAAGCCTCCCAAAGACATAACCACCAAAGACAGCACACTTTTTATTGACTTACTTTCATCTGAGGTGAGATTTAGCCTTTCATTTATGGGCTTTCTATAAGTCTCCTACAATAGAAAAGAGAGAGGGAACAGTAAGCTGAAAGAAGAACACAGGTTTTAAAGGACGAATGAGATCATTGCTACAATAATCACACAAAACACTTTACTACTGAACAGAGAAGCCAGATTGAGTGGAGATTAAATTCCAATCTCCCATTAATTCTGAAATTCTACCACACATTTATTTTTGTGTGTGAGTTTGTAAAGATATAATTACTAATGAGTCAAAGCATTTTGACCATAACTGGAATAAATTCCTAAATTAGGATGACAACGCTCAGTCATTTAAGGATCTTTTAAAAACGGAGATTCTAAGTAAGAAAGCCTGAGATAGTCTGTGTTTCTATAGCTCTTATGAGCTTGCAAGTGGCACAGGATTGTGGCTGCACTTTGAGGAGTAAGGGGTGTTTTTTACAGAGAAGAGTTGAGTTAGGAGACAAGCTTCTCTGACTTGGACAATTTATTACCTAAACCCTCTGAGTCCTTTCTATTGTATAATATGGCAAACAAAGTACACACGCTATAGTGTCTTTTTTGGGATTAGACAACGTAGTACCTTTGCCCACTCCTGGCTATAAGAAATAATTCTTACTGGAGTTAGCAAATGTGTATTTGACTCCATCTACAATCACATTTTGACCTCCACATCAAATCTGCTCTGGTATTTGTTTTAACTTGATGGGTTACTGATATGTGTACTCCAATTTCATTCTGAAATCCCATCCCCACTCATGTGCTCTTATTTTCCGTGAGGCGGAAAGACTTGCTTTTTACCTCTTGATTCCCTGCCCTTACAATCCCTACAGTGCTAGAATCTTGCCTTGTTGAGAGTCTTCTGCTCCTGATTCTGGTGCCTGATCCACTGCTAAGACCTGTTCAATGCTGACTATCTGTTGGTCTGCTTCCAAGTGTTCCCTGAAAGGGATTCTCCACCACTGTCATCTGTGATGAAACTACTGTTAACTATTTATCTGAGCTTATCTAGAGTAAGACCAGACATCTTGTAAATGTTAAGCTTTTCTGTTAGTTGTTTCTACAGGATCTACCCCAATGGGTGTGTCTAATGCCAGATTCTCATTTTACCAGATAAACTCTCTCTGACCTCCACACTCAATCTGTTCTAAATTACTGACCACGGCCATCTTATTTTTAACCTTTAAAAGGAATGAACTATGAGAGCAATCAAAGAGAGATCTTAGTTTCCAAATATCACTTTGCAGCTTACAAAGAGAATTTTTATGCTAAATTTGACAATATATGCGTTATAATTTCTCATTGACAGATCAGATTTATAGAAATCTCATACATAGTCAAACCTGTCAGCTACCCTTGGTTATCAATCACCCAGTAATATCCTTCCTTGCCCCTTTACATCCTTATGGATGCGTGAAGTTATGACTTACATTTGATAGTATAGGGCACTGGCAGTCAGAAGAATCTGAGGGTAATGGATCAGGAAAGCCACAGACAGAAGCCTTGGACACTTCCTCTGGGTAGGATGGCGTATAAAAAGGTACCTTCAGAAGATGATTTAAACTACCATGGGTGCCATTGTTGGGTGCTGGTTGAATGTGTAGAAGATCTGTTTTGAAAATAAGTTTCAAGTAGTTTTAAATTAAAAGCAGCACTTCTTGGGGAGAAAACAAGCACAATTATTTACATCTTTTGACAAATTCTGCTGATGGATGGGTAAATGAACGGGGAAAGATCCAGTGTGAAAAATTAGGTATACGAACTCTATGAGCTTTGTATGTAAACCAGTGTAAAAGAAAAAAACTAAATAAATTCTGCTGTGGTGCAACCGGATACAGCATATGTCAGTCAGTTTACTGGCCTCTGCCCTAGCATTTCCAACACTTGACCTTTCCAGAAAATAGGAAAAGTCACTGAAGATCATCCTCAGGAACTCTGATAAACTGGTTCTGCTGCACGAAAGAAAGGGATTGTGGCTTTTACAATAATGTTGTTCCTTAAATCTATGTAGCATAGTTTTCTATTTTAAAAAGCTGTACTCTTAATAAAATCAAGTTTGAAGACATTAAATGATTCACAGTCTTTCTTGCAGTGTAATTACTTAAACCCAAACACAGAAAGTCTTTATGAGAGGAGATGGCCTCATCTTTCTCTCAGGGAGCAGCTGGTGGATTTGAACCAATGCCCTCTCACTTAGTTGGCCACCAAAAAATACACTTGTGTGTGTGTTGTTGTTTACCATCGAGTTGGAACTGACCTATAGCTGACCCTCTGTTGGGTTTTCAGAGGCAGTAAATTGCACAGGAGGAGATTGCCCATCCTTCTCCTGTGAAGCAGCTAGTGGACTTGAACGGTGCCTTTGGGATTTTGGCACAGTCTATTGCCACTAGGCCACCAGAGCTCCCCATACACTACACTATACTTTCACGGCTCCTCAGTTATCTGAAAATTCCTTAAGGACAGAAATCTGTCTCCAAAATATTAAGTGAGTAAATCAGCTTATTGGTTAGGTTATATTTTCTCAATTTCTTCTATAAAAACAAAATATGTTAATGAGATTTTTAGAAACAGTATCTTAAATTGCACCTGTCTTGGGACCATCAAATCGACTACTTTGGATCTCAGGTCCTATCCAGAGCAAGCAGCTCTGTCCATATGGCCCACCTTGTGAATTTAAATGTTAATATTGCAACAGGGTACATTTAAATTCTATTTTCCCCCCTCTAATTTATACTCAATCATTACAAGTCAAGGATAAGATAAAAATAGACAATTTGAACATATTTAATTGAAATTCCTGAAACTGTAGGTGGGCTTGCTATACACTGGTTGCTTTGCCAAGGGAAATGGAGTGAATTGTTAATACAGTAATCTGAGGGTAAACATATAGACAGAAATGGGGCTCACATTTCTAAAATATGAATTCTTTAAGGAATTCTAATTCTTCCTAACACTGGATATGAAAACAACAAAATGAAAAAACAGCAATAACAAATCGACTGCCATCAAGTTGATTCCAATTCATGGTTATCAAAAGATTCCCAAGATTGTAAATCTTACTAGCAGGAGACTGCCTGTCTTTCTCCAACAAAGCCACTGATGGATTTGAACTGCTGACCAACACCTAACACATCCACGCCAAGGCTCCTTAAGAAAGCAGTAAGTATGTAAGAATAGACTTTTCCACCATTCTTTTAGGCTATAAGGTTTCTTTATAATTACAAGGAAGTGTGTGTGTGTGTGTGTGTGTGTGTGTGTGTTTTCCTGTTTTGTTTTAAAGTATCCTTTTATTCCATAGGGAGTTGCTCTGCTAAACCCAGCTCAAATCCACCTGTGACTGTGGGAGAAAGATAAGCAGTCTCCTTGTGCAGTGTTTACAGCCTCCGAGGGTCAGTGCAAATAATGTCTGACCCAATGACTATGAGGAAAAGCAACATAGGAAGTTCTAATAGACAGTCTGTGTAGAGTCACGTGGCTAATCTAAAGGTTGCATTTCTCTGCGATTTCAATTCACCAGCTGCTGAGGGGGACGTGTGGGTAGTCACCTCCTGAGTAATTTATGATGTTGGAAATCCAATAGAGGGTAAGTTGTGAATCAGAAGTGACTTGACAGCAATTATTATCATTGGCAGTGTTATGATTTATACCTAAATTAATTCTATCATCTATAATATAAATTCTCATATAAAAATTGTTAAAGTCAGATAGGATAGGATAGGATAAGATAGGATAGGGAAGAGAAGAGAAGAGAAGAGAAGAGAAGAGAAGAGAAGAGAAGAGAAGAGAAGAGAAGAGAAGAGAAGAGGAATAGAAT